CCGCTTCCCACACTCCAGGCCCTGACTTTAGAGCCTGTGCCTGAGGCCTCTGGGGAAACCCGTGTGAACCCCGGTGGCGCTGGGGGAAGGCGAAAAGGCGCTTCCCCTCGGTCATGCTGGCGGCTGGGCGCTGAACCAAGAGGGGCAAGGTGGGCGGGAGATGTTTGAGGAGGTTGGTCCCCACTGGAAAGGAACAGACTACTCAGGCCAGGCAGACAGGCTACTTGATATTTAATTTGCTACAAAAAAAATAAGGGGCGTGCTTTTGGAAAGGGATAGAAAATTAGGCAAAAATGAGACAATTGGGAAACAAATTTCTGTCCCCGTGAAATGATATGGAAGCCCCCGGTTATTCTGTCCACATTTTAGTTCATTCAGAAAGTACAGCCAAGAAGTTAATAAATAATTTTCAAGAGTAGTCATAACAGCAGCACAGAACTGGGTGACTGTGGGGATGGCATGGCCCAGAACCTTCCATGGAAGGGCTTCGGGATCATCACTCAGGTGTCAGGGATGAGGCAGTAAGGCACCCAGCCACCTGCCAGCAGCTACGAGGTTGAGCAGGCCGCTGACCCAGGGAGGTGGCTCTGCAGCGTCAGAAGGATAAGTCAAAAGTGCCAGAGTCCAGGGAGAGGAAATCTGGCTGTGGGCATGAGGGCAGTGACAGCCTGCGAAGTCCTGCCCTCGTGGGGGCAGGACAAACATCCAGAGCAAGCACACCCTTCCTCCAAAATTCCCAACACTCCTGGGGAAAGGAGACCCAACGTTGTTCAGGATGCAGAGAACAGAAGTGGAAGGAAAGGTGGCAAATCAGGGACTAGAAGGGCACCTGCTCCCGTTTTCTCCCCACAGGTATCCCCTCTGGCCAGAGTCCTGCCTGTACCCTGTCTCTTCCCAAACCCAAGCCCCAGACATAGAGGCCCTTTTCAGGTAGGAGTCCTGTGGGCCAAGGACTGTTGCATGCCAAAGAAAAACGAAATTTGCTAGCCGAATATTTTTTAGACATTTTGCAAGATGCACGGCCTCCCTGACAATTTTTAATGTACTAACTGCCTGGTCCAGTGAGCTGATTAATTGGTGCTGGAGAGATCAATAAAAAACAGAAAATTAAAACAATTTTAAAGTGATTAAGTAGTTTAACACCTGTCTCCCGTCACGTCAGCGCAGGAAGAAAAATAAAGCAGGTGTCGAAGGGGCCTCCTGAAGCAAGAGAAAACAGCGCCTGCCTTGGAGAAATGACAAATCACAGCTGGTGGATCAATCTGAGTGCAAGCAGCCCTTCCCCGAGCCCACTGCAGCTACAGCAGGAACCGGGGACCCCAAGACACTGGGCACCTCCCACAGCCACTCTGTAGAGTCCAATCCTCAAGTTAGGGAGGCAAGTGTCTGTCCAGACCCTGAAAACAGGATGGAGGGAGCAAGGTGAGCCAAGGAACATCTTGGCCTAGAATTCTGGATGGGATCAGATGTGAAGGCACAAGCTAACCTCCTGACCTCATTTCCAGCCATTTGGAGCAGAGTCTGCAATATGTGGAGGGGTTCAAATGCAATGAAAATGCATTTTGGGAGCCGTGTGGTCAATAGAAGGAAATAGCTATAGCTCTCTAGAATTTCCTCTTCTGGAAGCTTCAGGTCTCCATCCTTACTCCCAAGGGAGACAGAGCCTGTCAACCTCCACTGTCCCTCGGCCTCATGCAGCCTGGTTATACCTACAGGTGATGCAAGTACCTGCTGGATGATGGTGGAAATGCCCCTTGTAACTCCTTCGTGCCAACTTCACTCTCCTCCCACCCCCAACTATCATGAAGGCTGCACCCCAAGTGCATATTTTCATGTACTTGGCTCAAAATCACCAGAAGCCAGCCCGTGGAGTGCAAGAAACCAAAATGATTCCAAGTTCCCCCCCAAAGTCCTAACAACAAAGCAGAAAAAACATGAGCAAGGAAGTCACGTGAGAGAATTAACAAAGGCTAGCCTTGAAAGTTGGCTTGGATTTTGCATGTGTAAAGCGCAGATCTGCTTAATGTGACTCATGTTTTACAAAGCTGTGCTGGCCTATGACTTCCCTGCCTGAGCACACTGCTGCACCACCCTGAGTGGGGTGGGGTTCAAGCCTGAGGCACAAGCCTCAGAGCTCCATGGAAAAGAAGCTGGTCCTTGCCCAGCTCCCTGCACACTGGGCCAGAATGGGCCACTCTGGGGAAAGCACCCCCCTGTAATACTCACCTGCTGGGCAGTCACACTTTGTTTTCTGTTCTCCAGCTTCCTGTTCCCCTTCGAGGTCCCCTGATGCAGCAGCTTTCGCCCCCAAGACCAGGACAGGAAAGGGACTCCAAGCAACAACACATAAACTTTGCAGCAGGTCTAAAACATTAAATTTTAAAAACATTTAGAATGTGATTTAAACATTTAATAACATGAAATGTTGGACAGCAAAGCCCCTCAGCTGAATTTACTAGCAGTCTCCCCTTCAAAAGCCCTTCTGTTAACACCTGTCACACTAAATATGAAAGTCGTCAGCAGTGGCCTGAACAAGGGCAGGGACAAGAAGAAGGAGTGCCAACTAGTGTGTTTTAATAAAAACCTTTTAAGAGCCAAGTTTTTTTTCCCTTTCTCAGATTTCCCTCTGGAGTTCTGCTTCTGTATTCACTGGTTGGACCACTCTATACTCATGTTTGGGGCCATATTGGTCTCAATGAAAAGGTGCCAAAACCTTTACAGCCAATTTTATGCCAATGACCACCTCACAAAAAAGATTTCCGATCTTCAGCTATTGGCTCACTTCTCAAAATAATCCATACAGCCAAATTTCCACACAACAAAACATAGTCCATCCCTTGGCACTTCCTGCTACAGGATGTGACTTTGGTCAGGATGCTAACAGGTCCTGCAGTCCCACTTGTCTCATGGATCTCAAGTCTATTTGCCAAAGGTGCCATCACCAGGGTGGGCTGACCGGTGGACCTGTTCGCTGCAGAGAGGGTCTGTGCTACCCAGAAGGCAACTGAGGAGGGGCCAAGCCCAGGGACCTCACCACTCTCAGAAGCAAACACAAAGTTCTTGACACGGAGCCCTCAGGCCTGCTACTGCTCCCTGTAGAGTGAGCCTCAGACTGACGGAGATAAAGTTTCCCTGGGTCCAAGTTCCAAACTCGGCTGTTTTGTTTCTGTTAAAATGCAATTGTTTTTCTCTGGAGTGTGCGGTGACTGCTTGGCGTCAGGAAGATGTATGAAAACCTCCACTTCAATTCAGCATCCCTTTTCTCCCAGACAAACACGGTCGGATTTTAATAAATCAAAGAGCCACACTGTTTAATAAAAATTTATTGACTTACAAGTGATTATTTATCAAAAGACCATTAATAGCCGGTACTGAAATGATGTGTTACTGGGTGGTGCTGGGAGACTAATAGGAAATCAATGCAGCTGGCCGGCCAGAATGCATATGAGAAGCCCACCCCCCGACAGCCAGCGCAATTCCACCAGCAAAATACACCAGACGCTACTCCTGGTGCAATGAAAAGTTCCCCTTTTTTATTTATCGTTTACAAATGAAATGATCAATACTTTTAATCTAGAGCAAAATTTATTAACTTTCCCATCGGAGAGAGACATATTGACTGGGGGGAGTGGGGGTGTTAGTGCAACGGAAGATGGATGGCTGGATGGTCGTCTCTTAACCTGTCCAAGAGTCAGTGTGCATGCAGCTGCCCTCCCAGCCCCAGTGGCCCGGGCTATACGGGGCAAGTGTGGCTGGAGAAACCGAGTCTCGTCACCCTAGATGCACAACAGGCAGATGGGACCTAAGACACGGGGGACTCTCATGCATTGGGGACTGTGGGAAGCACTGTGCCTGACCACTGAGGTTTTGGTGAATTCCAAGAAGCAAATGGCTGGATTTATAGTCCCACCACTGGTAGGGTGCTGCTGCGAGGGGCTGACATAGGACGGTGCCTGAGGACTTGTCACTGGTCTGGTCTGGGTACTCAGGGTTCTGTGGAGCACTTCCCACCACCACACATCAAACCTTCTTTAATCTCTGAAGGGTAGCAACAGGGAATGGGGTCTGACACAGTAAAGAACCAAGTTTCAAAGTTGGTTCTACAATGTCACAAGGATGTCATCTCAAACTGCTCCATCAAGCTTAGCTTGCTGAGCTCTGGCCTGGCTGACAGCCTTGTATTGAGCTTCCTCTGGCAGGGGAATTTCACTAGGCTTTTTAGAAAGTTCCTTCTCTAACTGCTGGGGGTGGAAATCTGTTTGAGTGAAAAAAGTCTTTCCGAGATCCACAAACCCACCTAGGCCCACAGTCACCTATAGCACTGGGGACTCTCCTTCCCACGTGGGACACCCTATAGTGGAATGGAGTTTCAGTGGCCCCATTGTTTTGGAGGAGACAAATGGTTTTAAACTGACTTCTCTTATTCCTGAACCCAGATGACTTTAGGCTTAAAGCCAAAGTTTGAACTATGGATGTGAGAATTACAGAAACTGCATAGGTACAAAGGGCTTTAGAGGTCATCCAGGCCAAGTCCTTCGTTATGGGTGAATTGTCACAGGGAAACCAAATCGAACAGCCAAGGAGATGCTGCAGGTTTGGAAGTGGGATCAGAAGCCGACCAGTGCTCATGCCACTGATTAATGCCACTTGGTTTTACTCTAAGAGCACCCTCATCACTTCTGGGATCACAACAGCGAGTGTATTTTGCATTTTACATGCTTCTCTGTTGTTATCCCTAAGAGCCATGACCAATTCTGTTATCCCAAACCAAATATTTTGACTTACAGATAATTTGGGGCCTGCAGGGTCCCCAATTAAGACAATGGAGCAGTCTGATGCATCTGCATGCTTGTAACAAGCACTAAATTAAAACTTTAGATTTTTTTTGGGGGGGGGAGTGTAATTCATATTCCCTCTCCTCACTTAGTAAGAGGAAAATCATTATTACTTAGTCTCCACAAGTATTTCTTTACATAGCAGTGATTCTAAACCAGGTTCTTGCAATACTTTATGTCACTGGCAGACAGGTTTGTTGAAAAGAATGTGAGAAACATAAAAATAAAATATTAAATACCTATGAAAATCATAAAATAAATGTACTAATCAGCAGAAGTCTTTTTTTTAAAGGGAGTTTAAAAAGGGACCTTAGTCTTCAAGATCAATTTTTAAAGATCATTCCAGACAGTTTTAACACTGTAAATATCACTTCTTATAAAGGCTGATATCACTGTTTACTCCTGAATACTTTGTAAAACAGTTCATAACAGGCTGTTCTTGCAGACATAATAGTGTTTTTATTTGAGAGGAAAATTTTTCACCAGGTAGCAGGTCAGAGGGAATGGAGGCAGAGCAGCAGGAAAGCGGTCAGGGTGAGTTACACTCAGGTCAGGCAAGACAAAGTACTACCTCAGCAGCCTCAGGAGCGGGGCTTCATTCCCACATCCCCAAATCCAGGCTGGAGGGGGCCTCGGAGAGGTGACACCATGGCTGGTGCAAAATCCTGAGAGGTGTGGTGACTGCCATGCGTAGTAGGGGCAGGGAGGGGGGAGGAGATGGATAAATGCTAGAGGTGAGACAACTCTTTTCTGAGGGATTTGAAATTGGTGGACACTGGAAGCAGGAAGCTGCAAGGGTGGCTTGGTTTCGGATCTGCCCTCAGTGACTGCAGGTGGGTGCAGGAGGCCATGGAGCCTGCTGCTTCCCTCTAGTTATGTGGAAGCCCACAGTGCACCAAATACCCACGACCACTCCTGCTCCTCACTGACCCCTGTGGGGCCTCGGCTCCAGCCAGTCTCCTGTATTTCCTCGTGGTTTCCACTCTTACAGACTGACCCTGACACCTTGCACTCTCTCTCCCACCTCAACAAATTGTGCCCCCATCACACACCTCTAATCCCACAGCACCATCTGTGCAGAAATCCACACCTCCGTCTCTGCTGGGAATTCTGAGATACGTAAGCAAACATTTGATAGGAGTAGTTTACCTTCTGAACAATACTCCTCTTCATACCAGAAGCCCAGCAGGCATCCTTCAGCCCCAGGGTTATGTTCTGTAACTCTGATAAGAAACACGTTGCTTAGAGTTACATCCAGGGTAGAAAGAGTGAAGGGAAAAACCCCTCTATTCATTCACTGTCAAAGACAATTTTATTTACTCACAAAACAACTTGGAAGCCTGGGCAGCAGCTCCAAGCTCTGACCTCGTCCTGCCACATCTCAGGGACCTGTACTTGTAACACTGAGCTCCCCTGTCCACGTACTATAGCACTTCAATCCCCACAACAACCCTGTGAGGTAGGTATCACCACCCTTCCCCTCCTGATCCAGGTTACAGATGGGGAAACTGAGGCACGTGTTAACGAAGAGCAAGTCACATGGGAGTTTGGGGTGAGCACTGGAGTTTGAACATGAAATGACTCTTGGTTCCCACCACACACCAGTCACTGGTCCATCTTGCCTCTTCCCATCCCCTTTGGTGACTGCATGAGAATTTAAAACTTCATTTTGCTGAAAGCCCCTGCAGATAAGTTTTCTTTTTATCAAATCTGTGAAGCTACAAGGCTTGGGGCAATGTTTTGGCTGGCAGGCCACACTGCTTTGCAGCACCTCTCATGAGTGGGTGGCCCTTCCCCAGCCAAAGCCCTGGCATGTGGGCATCTTTAAGAGACTAGCGTCCTACGGGCACAGGAATGTGGCCGACTCTTCCCCACCACTCAGCCCCGCGTGTGCACAGGTGGAGAGCTGACTTTAATGGCATTCATTCCTCCAACGGACTTATTGTAAAAGAAACAAGAAGGCATCCCGTCCTGGGCAGAGACACCCAGCAGCACTCGCTTCAGACGGCGAGCCCAGAGATCCAGGTGGCTCTGAAGAAGCTGGCGTCCGGACTCAGAGCAGCCTGAGGACTGGAGTCTGGAGGAATGCAGCAGTAGGGGCGGCGGCTACAACTCCAGCTGGCCTGTGTAAGGATTCAGGCTCAGTGGCTCCAGCCAGCATGGGGCTCGGGCTCAGGACCGGCTCCTGTCCTCATGGTTGCCAACAATCATCTTGCTGTACAGCTTCTGCTGCTCCTCTTTGAAAGCATCCTTCACCTTCTCCCTCTTCAGACCGCCATCCCTGGGGAGAGAAAGGCTGCAGGTAACAACAAAGAAACTTCCTGCCCACCTTCCACCACAGCCAGTGCACTATGCTGCTCAAAACCAAGAAACACCTGCAGAAGCAAAGGTCCTTCGCGGCTCTCTCATAAGGGTGAGCTCAGAAACCAGCCCTGGACTCCCAAATCCACCCTTTCCACCTCAGAACTCATTCCTGCCTGGGGTTAGAATTCACTGCTCATATTCGAGGTGCTCTGTCACTGCTGAGACCTACCAAGCAGTTTAAAATTCTTTCTACTCCAACATTCATCCTCGCCTTACAAAGACAAAGGAGGTATTCTGGCATTATGGAAAGTAAGCCAAGCTTTAAGAGACATTGAGACCTACAATAAATCTGTAAAATGGGTCTGTGAAATAAAATCTGTAAAACTCAGACACAAGGATTCTCCAAATTCACACAAACAATCAACAAAAGGGGAAATGCATGTTTTTACTTCCTGTGTGCTCAGGGCTGGCGCTGTGGGGAATCCCAGCACCTCCCTCATACCTCCAAATAGATCCTATCAAATTGGACTTGATTCTTTCAAGTCCCACTCCCGCCTACCTGTCACCAAAACTCTGCCTACATACTATAATTATCATCTTCAATGACCAGTGAAAATCCAGGCTGAAAGTTCAGTCTTTCAGCCCCACCCCTTTTCTGGAGTTATGGAGGTGGTAGTGGTGGGAGTCTCTGATGAAGCCCCATCATTGGGCAGACCTCACACCAGAAGACCTGACATCTGCTATCCTTTCACATCCACAGTAAAGGCATCCTTTCAAAAGTAGCCACCTCGTCTTTACCAGGCCTCAGGGGAGGGAACGTGGAGCCGTGGATGAACATCCCAGCTCTAGAAGCCTGTCAGAATGAGTTCAAAATCTGGCTCAGTGTTTATTCAGTGTTTATTTAAAAAATGGTTACTTAACTTCTCTGAGTTTCAGGCTGTCATCTGAAAATGGGAATAACAATTTCCCTACTTCATGGAATTACTCTGAGGGTGAAATAAAATCACATAGAGCACCAGCTGTAGTGTCAATGTGCCTGAGAGCCAAGCTATTACCTAAGAACCCACAGATCAGGTTAAAATTTGAATTTCTACACTTGTCCCACAGTGCCCACTCCAGTCAAATGCCCTGCAGAGCTGACCCTTGCGCTTAACCCTGTCCCCTACCTGAAGAGACAGGATGCTTGTGCCCTGGTAGACTGCTACAAACCCCAGAGAGCTACAGACTCACTGCTTTAGTCCAAGCATCCTGGGCTCCATGTCCCTGAGATCAGGGTAACAGAGGGCACTTCTGAGTTGGAACTAGGAGAAAGCAATCAAACTGCTCACTCCCCAGGGCTGGTGAGCTTCATTCTCCACACCGGGGAGAGAAGTCTTTGTAAATGGGGTCAACAGTTTAGTATTTCCTTCAGAAATTCACGTTCTCCTAGACGCAGCTGATAAAACCTGGCTCTGACTCACCATAGCAGGTCCACGAGTCCTCCCTGCCTGGCAATGGCGGATTTCACCCTATTTGCAAACTGGACGGCATCTTCATCTGTCTGCAAGAAAATGAATGAGAAAGCTCAACACAGGTTCAGACAGAGCTAGCTGAAGATCTCTGCATGCGGGGGTTACCTACCTCTCTGGTCATGGGAGGCAGGTACCAAACACTGCAGACAATGGCCCAGCTGGTCATCATTCTCAGCAGGTACGTCACCATCCCATACTTGCTGCTGTTCCAGAAGGCATCACCAAACTGAGGGTCATACTGAAAAACAGTGGAAAGCTAGATGGTAAGAAGCCAGCAGTTCTAACAGTGAATGCATCACTGGGGCAGTGTCAGCATTAGAAAGCTGTTTCTGACCCTCTCCATGAACACCTCTGAGTAATGCTACACCAGGGCAGTTCTGATCTCTAGAAACATTAACCTCCCTGACTGACCCAAAATACTGCTGTAGAACCCTGGGAGGACACCCCCAACAGCCTTCCTCAGACAAATATCCTCCCTCTTTGATTAGTTTCACATCTTACTCACTTATCAGTGCATATATTCTATTACTTAAGTTTTCAAGCATATCTAAAAACAGAGACTAGGATAATACACTCCATATACCTATTCTCCAGATTCAGTCATTACCAGAATGGCACCACACCTGCCTCACCTGTGCCCTTCCCTTCTTATAAACCCTCTATCCTCATGCTATTCACTCATAAAAACATATGCCTCCCCCAAATATATTTTGCTACATAACTACCAAGTCTTAAATATCATTTCTAGTGTCTCAGACTGAAGAGAAAACAATTAGAAATCTTATGATATGCTTCTGTAATTACACTTTTTTTTTTTTGTAACGTACCTTTATTGATTTCAGAGGGAGGAAAGGAGAGGGAGCGAGACACAGAGAAACATCAATGATGAGTCATTGACCGAGCCCACAACCTGGGCATGTGCCCTGACCGAGAATCGAACCCGGATCGCCTGGATCCTAGGTCAGCGTTCAACCACTGAGCCACGCCTGGCCAGGCTGTAATTACACTTCTAACAAAGCTAGTTATCTCTTTAAGCAGGAGGCTCTGATTTGATTGACCATCACTGTTCGTTAGTGAGTGGATGCATAGCAACAGTACAAGCCTCCACCACAGAGGTGCTGCACGTCCCACCAGGAAGCAGGCTTATCAGATACTCTCATTTGTCAACAACTCTAGAGGAGGCAAAGGCTGTGATTCAACAGTATTTTATGGGAAATGTGGCCAAAGCTGTGACCCTCATTCTCACCAAACAGAATAATAATTTAAGTGGCAGGTAAGCCTGATGGGAGGAGTCCTGGAGGAAGTTAGATAAGAAGCACCCTGGCCTGTGTGGCTCAGTGGTTAGAGTGTCGGCCTGCACACTGAAGAAGGGTCACAGGTTCGATTCCTGGTCATGGGCACATACCCGGGTTGCAAGTTTCATTCCCCAGTCCCACATGGGGCACACGTAGAAGGCAACCAATTGATGTCTCTTTCACATCAATGTTTTTCTCTCTCTCCCTCCCCTTCCACACTCGCTCTAAAAATAAAAAATAAAAAGAAGCAACTGAATCCTTGAAGAGAATGCCTGAACAAAGCATCATGGGACTGTTATCAAATGTTTGAAAGGCTATCACAGAGCCCAGCCAGGCGTGGCTCAGTGGCTGAGCATTGACCTATGATCCAGGAGCCCCCTTTCGATTCCCAGTCAGGGCACATGCCCAGGTTGCAGGCCTGATCCCCACTCGGGGCAGTGCAGGAGGCAGCCGATCAATGATGACTCTCTTCATCGTTGATGTTTCTATCTCTCTCTCCCTCTCCCTTCCTCTCTCTCTGAAATCAGTGGAAACATGTTTAAAAAAAGAGAGAGAGAGAAAGGCTATCACAGATAAGACATTAGACTGACTTTCATAAAGCAGACCTAGAACCAGAGAGTGGAGACAAAAGGAGATGGAATTTCAACAGTGAAGCCACAGAACTAAGTTGCCACCAGTGTAGAAAATGCCCCAGGCCTGGAAGAACTGCGGAAGGAACACAGGCAGGGAGGCTGTGGTGGGGACACTTGCACTCAGGGAGTGGGCTGAGTCTAACCTGTATGATCTTTTAGGCCTTTCAAGCTTAAATTTTATGATTCTCGGAATAGAAATTGGATAATTATGCCTAGCTGAGAACCTGACTAGTGAAATGAAGATACTTAGATTTAATTACAGAAACTAAGAAATTTATATATTACAGAAGGTTTAATGACTTCACGTTATAATACTAAAAGGAAATAAGGGAGAAGAATGAGTTTTAAACAGAAGCTAATGTGTATGGTTTGAAGAAAGTTTTTTTCCAGCTTGTAAAGCATTATATATATAAAAAAAATGTGATATGTGTAAGTGTATGTGAGTCCTTGTTTAGGGTCGACACTCTGTTCCATGCTGGGCAGACCCTATAGAGAGAAAAACCAGGCAAAAAGCTCAAAACAGCAATAAATTGCTCAAAATCAGATAATGACAATTTTGGTGGAAATGTAGTAAGAGTGTTGAAATTGCTAATGTTATCCAAGTTTGGTTACCAAAAACTTCATAAAAACTAGAAAACTATCTGTGGAACAGAAGTTCTTAATCTTATGTGGGCTTTAGTTTGTAAATGGAATGAAATTAATGTAACATTTACATGCCTTTTCCTTTGGAGAGGAGTCAGAACCAAGGGTTTATGTTCCAAAACTGGTTAAAAACCATCGCTCCAGAGCAGGCTTCATACAGGTTGGCTACTAAACAGCAGTATCAGCAACAACCAGGAACGAGACAGAAATGCAAGCCTGGCCATCTGCATTTTCACAGTCCCTCCAGGTGATGCTGATGCAGCTATGATCCAGGAACCAATGTTGTCGAGTGAGCAATGAGGGCTTCTACCCAGTAGTTTGTTTTTAATAAACATGTATAGGGAAGCACTGGACTCTCAGGACTTGAAAATGCAGGATGGCATGCATGTGGTGGGAACGCCACTCCCCATTCCTGCATCCACAGCAGACACTGCATCCCCCACAAATCTCTCAAGCAGCGCTGACCTATGGATCAGTTACCCTGCAGCCACTATTCATCGGCCATCCCTGCCCTGGTGCTGTGCCAACCTGGTAAAAAGGGAGAGGCTGGTAAGCGTCTAGAAGAGAAGAGCCTCTTCCCCCACTATACCAGCAGTACTGGCAAGATGAAAATAAAAAATACTATTTTCACAGAATGCTCTGCAGATGATAAACAGACCCTTGCAAAAGTATGGAGACTAAATTCTAAGCACAGCTCAAATTTCCTCACTGTCTTACCCTGATTTCAATGAAATACTTCAAATATATTGACAATAGCCTATGTTTTTCAGTTGTAACATAACAGCAACCTTTTGGAAATAATACTATGTATTTATAAGATCAGATGACTGTGAAGGGGGGAGATGGAAGAAGGAGAAAAAAGGGGAACTGGTTGGCTGGCTGAATCCCATCTCTCTAGGTGAGTGTGAACAGTGAGGCCATGTTCCTAAAAGGTGGGAGGGTAGAACAGACAAGCTCTTAAGAGCCATTTCACTTTTATAAGCTGTCCTTGGTTCACAGGTGAGAACATGACCCAAATCAGTGGAGTGGTTTCTTCCTTCAGCACAGAGGCCACACCTCACCCATTCATCTCCGCCTCTCCACCAAATACAAATCCCAGTGGGCAGCCAACCCCGCACCCCTGCAGTAAGCCACCTCTTCAGATGGAACTTCTTACACTCCAGCCAGCTTTACGGAGACAGAGATAATAAGTGAGGGAAATACACGAAGCTTATAAAGTGTTCCCCATTTCCTGCCTCTGGTGGGTTTGGGGAGGCGTGGGCTGGAGTCTGGCTATTCCACATTCCAATACTCCCAGCTCCTTCTAACAGGCTGTGAACAGTGTTGCATTCTCCTAAGCACTTGGCCCACACCGGCCCAGCCCCAGGCTGCTCCACCCGAGAGGATCAACCCACTGATGGTGGCACCAGCGCCTTCCCCCATCTTCTTTTGCTGCATCCTGTTGTGGCAGCGGCCATAAGGGCCACATGCACCCTCAGAGCTCTTGTACCTTGATAGCAACAGGGTAAACCGTGGCTCCAATTTCAAAACTTCCCTTTTTGAACATCATCACCGATGTATTATTGATGCAGGTTCCTAAAATGCAGGAGAGAATAAAATGCTATTTCTTTTGGTTCTTCACCCCAGAGATTAGGAGTTTAAGAATGAAATATAATAACAATAATTCTAATGACTCTTCAAACGGGATAATCTGCCATCTCCCTAGCTTATAAATGAACACTTAAGAGGGTTAAGCAAAATACTCATCTGCTTCCTATTCTCCTACTACAGGACCATAGTCCCTGATGAGCACACACAGCCTAGATAAAAGGCCAGAGATGCTCAGCAGACTTGGCAGGTCTCAGTAAGGAATCTACAAGGAGCTGAAAGACCCTGTCGACAATACTATAGAATGGATTTCTGCACTGGGGAAGTTCACACTATGGCATTTAGTCCAAATTCTAAATTTCTATGAGTTTCTAGTCCCACAACCAATCTAAAGGGACCTAACATTATTCACTGAAAACAGATGACCCCAACAAAGGTCGAGGAACTTGGTTCTGAGGCAACACCAGAGTCCCCATCCTGCACGGCCTCCCCCAACAGAGCTCTCTGTGGTGATCGACCCCTTCTTACCCTCTGGGAAAATGAGGATAGGTAGCTTGCTTTTATCCTGCACGTGCTCAGTCAGTCTTTAGAAGAGAAAAATAAAACCAAGGGTCAGGCAGCCTTACGTCCATTATCACCAAAATGCATTTATAAATAACCTACACAGATGTGACACCAGATGCTGTATAAAAACAAGTGAACAAATACGACCCTATCTTTCAAAAACCCCAAATCTAAATCTCACAAAGATAAAACTTATGACAGGGAAAATCATCTGACTACAATTTAATTCATATAATTATTCAATTAAGCAGTAAAGTGTGTATACAGAGGACATTGCTCAGACTTGGGACTACCTGCTACAGGGGCCCTGCACAGAGAACCCTTAATAAATGCTTGCTACCAAACTCCTAACAGCCTTGCTGGGCTGGACCTAAAGCACCTCTTTACACTCTGTCCCTCAGAGAGGCAGCAAAGGAATTTTAGTGGCAAGTTCATTTGTCCCTATGGAAGATGGTCTCAGCTGGGTCTGGATTCCTCTCAATTTACGGCAAAGCTCTTGCCACTACTTGTACCAAATTAATCCTTTTTTCAAGCTTGAAAACAGGGAAGTACTTTGTTCCATTGCCTTAAGTTTGTTTTTACTTGTGCTAATAAATTCATTTTGAGATTTCAAACAGCATTAAAATGCATATGTTGTTTGTTACTATGGGTGCAAGAAATAAGAAAGCTTTAGAAACATTACTAATTTGGTAACTAATATTAGGGTTTCTTTACTTTTTATATTCCATATTTTAGGAAAAAGTATTTCTATTATGAAAGCAGTGTAGCTTAGTGTGAAAGACTATAATACCACTGTGGAGGGATAATTTTGTAAAATGCATACTCTGTAACAGGTAATACAGAACAAAGGAATTTTGTTGATTTACCTTTTAGCCACCAGGTGGCGATCTTTCACTTCAGAGCGCTCAAACCAGACATGAGGGCAGGCTTTCACCATGGCTCTCTGAATCACACCCATGAGTCCCCCGTGCACTTGACCCACCTAATCTCAGACAAAGGAATAACTAGTGGTGAAGCCATCTTCACTCAAATCCCCCACTCTGTGGAGAAAGCCTTAGATCCCACAAGATAACCACCCCAACCCCTCACATTCTAACATTTTAATAACCACAGGTTTCTGACTATTAAGAAACCACTATTAGACTCCATGACTCTTAAATTTCTCTTTTTAATCAGTGATATCAGAGATGTGTAATTAAAAACATAGATGAAAATCCTAACATGAAGCTGAACAATACCTTGTGTAAAAATGCCCCCCTGCACAGATTCTCCAATGCCCTTAAACCCAGTCCTTCAAAACCTTTCTCCCTATCTTCACCCCTTTTCATGCCTCCTAAACATCCAAAGTCTAATCTCCTACCACACTTGCAGTTACTCTGCTCAGAATATCTGGTATCAAAGTCCCAAGGAGTTCTCAGAAGCAACAGAAACAAAGGCAAAACTCTAGGTTGGGGCCCATACATAAAAACATGTTTACCTGTTTTTACTCTTAAGAAAGAACTCGGTGAAGGGTCCAGAAGCCTCCCTGACCAGTCTCTAAAGTAAGAAATTTCACCCCAAGAAAGCATAAGAAAGAAGTCTTACCATGGCATAATAGCCATCACTGGCCAAAATGATGACGTCAATAGGAGAGGTATGATTGGCCACACAGATGCCACCGTTTCTAGGCCTGTTTTCCCTGTTTAGAATGTATGCAAGGCAACAAAAATTCTTGTGAAACAATTCATTTGGAACTCATCCCTCACCTCAGCTTCATCAATTCTTTTAACTGAAAGCTCGGAAGAGCCCTAGTTGGGTCATGTTTTGCCAGCACCACTTCCCTCTGTATCACACTGCTCACCTGTCGTGGTAGGTAATGATGGCTGTCAGGGCTCGCACACATATCCGGTAACACATTAAGTGAACATGTTTACTCAGGAACTCCTTAAACCTGCAATAACAGGACAAAGACTTTTGCTTTTATTTTACATATAGGAAGACAGGAAAAGTTACTGACTCCAACAATTTAACTATCACAGCCTACAGTCCTTTATGACTGCAAAGTATTTTTATAAAATATTAGTGTATATAGCAAAACCCTACAATTTATTAGCATCTTTATGCCCATATACAAGGAAACAAAGCAATGATGAGAATTGTTTAAACTCACCTAAGTAAAAGGGTTTAGAATCATAGCCCTAAAATTTCCTGCACAGGTGAGTCTACTTGATTCCTTTCCTTCCCAGTGAACATCTAGAGGTAAGGCAAAGGCCAGAGTCCAGCCTCCTAACCAGCCCAGGCAGAAGAGAGGTTTGTTTGCTCCAGAATTTCCCAGAAAAAGCAAATTTCTCCTTCAAAGAACAAAACAAACAAAGAAGCCCTATCCACATTTCTTATCCTCTTACCAATTTATCAACACAGTAGAATGCTCAAAGCTAAACAGCATGCTGTGAAACCTGCTAGACCTGGACTCCAAAGTTTGTGGTTTTCCCTTTTGTCTTTAAAACAGGAAGAGTGTGAGGGCTGGACGGCAGAAAGAACACAGATCAAGATTGGTAAAAAAAAAAAAAAAAAAAA